AACAGGGAACTGGCTCTGTTCCAGCTCATGCACCTAGTTTGCTATTCAAAACTGGTGTAAATGTGAGCTTGTTCGCTAGGTAGCACCAAGGTTCAGAGAATCTTGAACTGAACTGGTTCAAGAACCAGAGCTAATTTGATGGGAAAAAAATCCAAAGCATCAGTATTTGATGACCTGAAAAATAAACTCAACAATCAACTATATTTCTCCAAAACTGCTTACTGCACATTTAGGATTTAGTGGCAGATTGCAACTAACTGAATACTGCTGGTGTCTGTATTCAACGACCTGGGAATGAGAACAGGCTGTGTGTAGCAGAAACTACGTTGGCCACAAAACTCACAAAAAGACCCTCTCTAGAGCCTGTAGAAACATGGCCGGTTCAACAAGGCGACCAACTGCATCTGTAGGTAAAAACAGCTCATTCTGAGGTAACAAAAACATAACAATTTCTATATTTAGGTGATTATACTGATCTGTGTAATTATCTCCCCTCTCATCCAGCTGCTGCTTTCCCTGTCTTCAGTCTTGTCATGCACATGCAGAATGCGATTACCCATATGCGTGGCCAAGAAAACGCCATTCTCCAGGAGGAATTTAGTGTTTACATGACAGCTAAGCCATGAGCTCACTGGAGAAAGCTAGCTGTCTGTAAGGTGGTTACATAAGTACAAGTAAACGTATGGATGGTGACAGCAAACACAGAGGATTCCCATGACGCTCAGCCTTCCCAGAGGATTAATCTAAATTAATTTGATTAGATTTTTCATTCAGCACCACCCACAAGCAGTATGTAATTTCCACTTGTCCAACCTTTGGCAATACATGATAGCATCATGTATCATGATAGCCTGATATCTATAGTAGGTCTGCCATGTTTTATTCAAAATTTCAACTACCGTACTCCAGCAGGGGACACTGGTGCTGTTGACAACTGAAAAAATAACAGACTTAATCCGTTAACATTTATTATTATTACTGTTATGTTAAAATGGTAATGTTAGTATTACATTACATAAACATGTTAACTGAGCCTGACAGGCTGAGATTCCGCTTTGTTTTTTCATTTATACAACTTTTGCAAGATGTAGTTTTCCATGTATACTTGACGGCGTTCTTTGAAGCACCATGAATCAGCTGATTTCACACAATTTCAAACTTTCAGAACCCTACAAGCTGAAAGAGTACCAAAGACACAGAAAAACATTGCCAGATAGAAAAAAGAACAGCATTAGTGTGGTCAAAATGACCAAACCTTTGAAACATGAATTACACCTTTTCTTATAGAATTTTGGCTTTATGAAACTTTTCCATATCAAGCATCCCATGTACGTAGATCCATATTTGAACACATACTAATAATACAAGGACAAGGAGAAGAATGTGCTTACCGTTTTGCTGAGGTAACCAGTGGAGATATTCCTGCATTGTTTGTCTTCAGAGTGGCAGCACCCTCCACATCTATAGACGGACACACATGGTGGTTTATAGAAGATGTTCGTGGGAGCCCCGAATTCCCTGCCCACGTCGACACACACTTCCCTGGGCATGCACTGAGTCTTCCTCCACTCCGACTCTATACCTGCATACACAAGGAAAGTAAGACCAACACAACAGCTATGCATCAGGTCTTCTCTTCTCTCAGCTGCACAAAGGCAAAAGTAAAACATGTGGCCAAGTCAGAAGCATGGTCAACGAAAATTTAAGATAAATTATCTATTAGGGCAATATTTGTTTATTAGATATGTGAAAATGCTTGTCCTAATGCATTAATTTGAGCTGGAGAAATCCGTTCGCACTCGTAGTCAGTTCGTCTCAAGTCGTCAAATACTGCAGCTTGGTCAGTGGCCCTGCGCTTCAGAATATAACACTGTAGGTCATCCAAGTCAGGTGAGAAAGTCCACATATTGAGGTAGTGGTGTAGAAGTAAGTCTTTGAAGTTAAGTACGTAAGTTAACTTATCTTAAGTCATGTCAGGTACATTGTGTAAGTTACGTTTTATCCATGTACTGAAGTTACATGAGGTACTGTACGTTAACGTATATGTTAGTACCTGATAAAACCATACAAACTTACCTACGAAGTCATAACTTTTTTATGTTTTTGTAAACCTGACCTAAGTTGTCTTTGTGCCAACCAAACTGTCTGTTTCACAACATTAACCACTCAAGCTTTATTTTGAAAATCTAACTGGACGTTGCATATATATAGAGAGATGCTTACAGCGCCATATTTTGAAGCGGAAGGGCAGTATTTTACAAGTTGGGGAGTGACATTTTGGATGGAGAGCTCTGTTGAACAAAATGTGACATAAGAATAGGCAAGCGTAAAGTTGTCACTAGCACATGAGGTCCTTAAGCTCAAAGACCTGCATCCATTTAAAGGGTAACAACTTTATTCTTTAATTTAGTGAGGGTTACAGTTTGTAACTAGTAACATTTATTTGCATTAAAGTATATTACTATTTGTTCTTACAATTTGGTCAGGGCAAAGCAAAGTTTAAAGCAAGTGAGTAAAAAATTTTACATAAGCCATTACTATGACACTAAATGGGAAATAGATGCAGGTGTTAAGTAAGCTGTTTTATAGAAGTGGCAGTTTGTCATTTCATTGTGCAATGTGTCCCTCATACTATGTTAAACAGTCAATCAGTCAAGCATGTTGCTTTTATTTTAAAACAGAAGCACTGATTATTATATAACTGCATCTACATTTTAGATATCAGTCTGATGGCAAAGAATGATAGAAACGATAATATGATGCATATAGTTGTCTGAGTTTGAGGGAAATAAGTTGTAGTGACATAAAGTAAAACTCCACAGTCCACAGTCCACAGTCCAGTCAGTCATTATAGCCTAGCTACTATGGGGCTCTTACTGGCGGAGAAACAAAATCAAAGCAAGCATCTCAAAGACCACCACAATTGGTGCAGATGTGCTGACCCAGTTTCCATTTTTGTAAGTCAGAAATAATAAAACAAACTATTAAAATATCAAAAGTTCAAACATACTTTTCAGAACATCCAAGTTGAGGTAGGCAGCAGCAAATGTCGGCTCTTCTGTATCAGCCAGTGGCCTTAGTCGGCGAGGCTGTGGCCGCTGAGAGAGCTTGGTGGCTGAGGAGGAAGCGGCAGCCGCAAGTTTAGATCTGCACTTCAGAGCTGCCCAGTATGAAGGATAGATGAGACTCATCAGTTCATCGACACTGGAGGCTGAACGCAACTTCTGCTCCACGTCTGGCTTTAGTGGAGAGTCCTGAAAGGGACAAGAGACATCTTCACTGAGAATGCAGTTGTTCCTGTATATTATTACCTGAATTCTTAACTCTGACTGAAAGAAACACAGCTATATCTGAAGAGCACATTACAAAGTCATTGTTTTGCGAGTCACAAGTAAGTCACAAGTGGTCTCAAGTCCCAAGTCAAGTTAAGACCAACAAGTCCCAAATCAAGTCCAAGTCCTAACCAAGTCATTATGTGCCCTTCACCAAACTGAATACCATTTAATTTCTTACAAAATATGGTAAATGGTAAATAAGAAATTATATATTTTTTTTAGATTAGTATTTATTACTCTAAAATGAACTTTAGAACAGGGTCTGATAATCTGATAAACTTGAGTCTGATTTGAGTCCAGGTCATGGAGGCATTTGGCACCTTTGAAACCAAAAGTAAACTTCTTTTGGGAAATGTGCGAAACGTAACTTCCATTATTTTCTTAAACCTAAACAAACTGTGACTGTTTCACAACATTAACCACACATACTTTATTTTGGAAGTCTAACCAGATGTTGCATGTTGATTATTGTTAACTTGACTGGAAGTTGTGGATGTTGCATCTTTAGCCACAACAATGATGTAGAACTGGTTCTAGTTGCTGTGGTCTGCAACTACAGAGCAGAGCTATTTGATGCAACAGCAGACATTAGTGTAAAAGTAATAAGCTGGTCCTATAGGTTCACCTGTTTGAGGTTACCAATACAGTTTTTTAAAAACAACTTCAGCAACTAAAAAAATGACATCATTTTCCAACTGTAATTCTAATACCCTGTACCAGTCAGGTTTCCACAGGGACTGTAGCATGGCAAAATAAACTTAGAAACTTAGCCAACTTTTGTAATACATGACAAGTCTCATCGTGCTGTAGGCTAGATCTATCAGGTTGTATTAATTAGACAAGAAAAGTATACTGAACTGAGACCATGAAGATGACCTGTATCTGCATCTTTAAGGCCCAACCTGACTGAGCCCAACACAAATTAGAGGCACAAATCTAAGTGGACCTAATGTTATATCGAAGAGTGCTTTCTCACCTAATAATAAGATATCTGTACAATATATTTAAGCAAATCAGTTGGCAACGTAAGTGCAGGATTTTCCCTGATCAATCAGAGTCAAAAGCAATTAAAACTGTGATCTGCTATGCTTGTATTCTGTATTTTTTCAGTTCATTAAGTCCATTCAGGTATGTGACATAGCATCCCCATTTCTTTTTTTATTCCTGTTTGTTGTTATTCATATCCTGTGATCCAATACTACTAATAATGCTCATGATGATGTATTTCTTTATGAGCTCTTTGTGATACACAATACTTTAATATACATATGAGAAGCATTAAAAGTCCAGCATGAACCTGCCACCTCCTCCGAATTTAGTTTTGAGGTCCAGACCAAATTAGAGCTGTAATATTTACATCTTGAATTAAAATTGTATTTATTTTGATGAGTTGCAACCTAACTTTAAGACTTGGTTCACAGTTCAACTAATTCTTCTTCTTTGACGAATGTGTGGCCAGTGTTTGTATATGTTATCTCACTTCCTGTCCTTCAGTACCATTAGATATATATGCCAACATCCACACAATCACTCTGACAGGAACAATATGACTGTTCGCTGCAAGCAAGGCCATCACACACACACACATTAATGCTGACTGGCCTTTGTATTAGTCAAACAGAGTCAAACAGTCCATTGTATTTTACGGCCTGTTTAAATCTGTTTATAGCCACTGTAGAGATAACACACTCAACGCTCCATTTCCTACTAGAAACAATGTGTGTATTTATGTGTTTCTATATGCATATGCATGTTTTGTGTTTTGCTTCTGTCTACACAGATTTGTTCTACATGTATATGTCCTGTCTTAGTTTCCTCCGTCTCTTCGTGTGTGTGTGTGTGTTGTCTTTTCTGTATGTGTCTGTCTTCAGTTCCCTGATTCTGTGTGTTTCTGCTTGTATTTTGGACTGGTGTTTTCACACACAAATATGGCACACACACACACACACTGTCCCTTCACGTGGGAAAGAGCTGCTTCTCTTCCGTCACATCGGCTCAAAGAATCCGAAACAAACAATTGAGAATGCACTCTTAATAAGACCCTGTTGTCACCTGACTGCAGTGAACACATTCACCATTTCGGTCCTTTCCTGCTGTTGATGTTTCCTGAAACTGTTCTGGAACGTCAACACTGCTCAGACCGCCAGACTAATCAAAACATTTTATTATGGTTGGCTTTATATTAAAGCCATCCAAATGATGTTTTTACATGTTTTAGCCTATTAACTTCAAACTGTGTGTGTGCTAAAATTGCTGCAATTTTCAAAAAGTGTGGTTTAAGTGTTCAGATCGATGGCCAAACGTAGAGGCAGCCAGTCGCAGTTCATTTCAGTAAACCGTGAAAATCTACTTTCTGGAGGCTTGAACCTTTCAGTCATCCATCACAGAAAACAGCTCACAACATTTATTTCTGTGTTATGTTATGGTCATGAGGTATTTCAGCAGTGAGCGTTGAGCATTTTCAAAATGACATAAAACCTAATCCAGACAAGACAATACAAAAGCATGAAGTTAAGTGCAATCCTTCTTGTGCTAAAAAGAGACTGTCCTCATCGACAGCAGCTTCGGTCAATTGTTCAAACCACTTTTAAAGCCTCGTGATGACATACTATATGTATCTATATTCATGCATTTTCTTAATTAAATTTACATAGACCAGTACAAATTTCTCAAAATCTCAAAACCATTACAGAACATTAACTCTTAGAGATTAAAGCAATAAAATACAAATGTAGAGTCAAAATGACTCTAAGAATTTAATTATTATGTAAGTAATAGGGCTGTGTTAGCAAAAATCTGACGATACAATACACATTGAAATAAAGGGGTTACCATCAAATATATTGCGATAATTTGAGCAAGCAATATATACAATCAAATTTTAGGAAAACTTAGTATAGTATAGTATGGAAAAAAATTGTATAAAGAACACGCCACCATAAAATATAAATTAAAAGGTTTACTTTTCGAATCCCAAACAGTGGGATCTGCATTTGTATTTATTCAATGTCTGTAACACGACTGTAGTTTATGTCAGTGGACCAGAAGTTCATGGTTAAGAATAGGAAACAATGCGTTGTGTAATATCAGATCACAGAACCAGCAGTCACAACACATGAAAGTCACGTCACATGTTGGAAAGGTTCAAAATGTGGCTACAAAAATCCAGCAATGGAGATGTAATCACAAGTCATATGGACAGACAGATAACTCGTTAATCATCAGCTTTACATGGACCCACATATGGAGATCAAATTGAGGTGTCCTTTTTCTTTAAGTCATAAAGAGCTCACTAGGAAATTATTTGATAATTAGCATTACTGGACCTCGTGAAGAGGGAGAAACAGTATCTACATAAAGTATCTTGGACCATAATAGGAAATCCTTACATTCATATCTGATCAAATTTTTTCAATTACTGAAAGATATTGAACACATGAAGTTGCTTATTCAATGAGGAGATCTCTCATAACAGGTTGCAATCCGCAGAAGGAATTTATGCTAAAATCACATATCTACTTTGCTTTGCTTTCACAACACGAACAAACCACATTAGAGTTCACTTGAAACTAAAGCAAAAGCTGTCTTGGTTAGAGGTGTGTATTGGCAAGACTCTGCCGATACGATATGCATCATGATACAGGGGCTACAATTCAACATGTTGCAAACTATAACCAAGCTTTTAAAAATCAAATTCTGGAATCTGCATTTGTATTTATCACAGTCCTATAACATCCAACATGATAGCCCTCAGTTTACGTTTACAGCACTGCTATCTAGTGGTTGGGAGTTTAAACGCAAAAATGTATAGTGTTTTTGAGAATCAATACAATATTACAAAACAAAATTACGGAAGTGCATTGCATTCACTGGATAAAA